AAATCTATTCGCGAGTCTTAAGAATCGAAGAGTTAAGAATATTTGCAAGGTAAAACCGGGCCAGGTGTCTAATCTTTAAATTTAACATGAATGTTTTGAGGCGGCGCCCCAGATGTGGCATTCTTGAGGGCTAAGAGCACCTCTTTATATTAGTGACCGAGGCGGGAGCCAACGAAGACACCAGAGGTAGTTATAGATTCAGCTACTGGGAACAAAAAGTTGCAAGTAGCACGGGCTATGGCGAGCCCGTAGTGGACTTGCCTGGCACAGGAGCGGGGCTGTAGCTTGACACCAAAGGACACCCAGCTGCTTAAGACCTCATCACCGTGGGAAACGTCAAGGGTGGGGTAGGGGGGAGATGAATAAGGGCAAGGAAAGGAAGGGTAACAAAGGTAGGAGGTGAAGAAGGGTAGTGAGAGGGGAGAGTGAATAAGGGGTAGTGAGAGGGGAGAGTGAATAAGGGGTAGTGAGAGAGGGGAGAGTGAATAAGGGGTAGTGAGGGGGGGGGGGTCAGAGTGAAAGATGGAAAGGAGGGAACAGACGAATTCGGTCTTTTACAGGCGAGCACTACAAAGAGACGAGGCTACTAGATACCGTGTTTTTGTCAAGAGTAGTCGACTCTTGAAACAACAACAAGAGACCGTTACAAAAACATCAAGGGGAAAGAAACCTAGGAAACAAAGTGCTTAATTTTACGTCACTGTTGGTGGAACTTGCTCGGGGCCCGAGATAAGACTGCGAAAAATGACAGCAATAAACTTAAGAGCAACCCTGAACAAAAAATGCTTCATCTCGAGTACAAAACTTCGTCTTAAAAATCACAAGAGAACTTTTTCAGATCACCAATCACAGAGAAAGCTTTCCTACCACCGTTATCGTGAGGTGCGCGCACCAGTCGTCTAAGTGAGTCACCTACGCGCACCAGTGAATACTTGTGGCTCTCAAAGTGGGTCAGCAAGGGTCCCTCCTCCTCCGATGAATTGGCTTTACAACAAACACTATTGTTATCGTTCATTTATATCCGGGGGACTGAGGTCTGCTTCAACTTATTACGTTTTACAACTTATTTGATTATAATGTTTTAATGTACAAACATAAGTGTTTTCATCGTGATTGTCTCAAAAGGCACGTTCTTGAAGCTATAGCGTTCCCACATTGAGGGCGAGACCTAGAACTAGGAGTGTGTAGAATATTTAGTAAATGTAGTGACTAGTAGCGCTACAGCCCGGGATAGTTCAGGACGTGGTTTAGTTACTAGTACACTAGGCTATAACTGCACTCTCCAGGAACACGCACTAGTTCAAGGTGAAGGATATCCTCTCACATTGCATGCCTTGCTTCACACCGTGTTTGCTCTCACTGCTCTTGGTCGCAGGCTACAATTTCTCCTTCACTGTCGATTCGATGTTTATTCCGCCTCAAAGTATACCAAAAATGTTGAGAGCTGACCCGCCGTTTTCCTACCTCCAGGGCATTAAGAAAACTTGTTTACCGTGATTGGGGAAGAATACCAAGCACCGAAACTATGTTTACACTGATAAGTGAAAAGTGATAAGTTTACGTGTATAAACAGTGTTGATTAAAATAAGGGACTAGGCTAAAATATTGCTAAATAAGAGAGCAGTCGGTTCACCATCTCAAAGTTCGATTTTCGCGGTTGGGCAGAAACGTTTTGAAAAGTTTTTCATATGTTGCCTCAATTTACCTAGAAGCAAATGTGTATCTGGGAGATGAGCAACTCATGGGTCGCAAAGATATAGTAGTTGGCCTAAAAAGACCTCGATAAGACTTACAGGCCCGACAATGAGAAATCAGTTGCAAGTTCCGAGGAATGATATAATTAGGTTTGCAAGGTGCATCATTCACGAACATAACTGCAAAATTTAATACATTACGCTTAAACTTATCGCTTAAATCGACGTCCTTCTTAACATCAACAAATTCATGTGCTTTTGACTGATGTGATTCTGCTCGCCTCGTCACAGAAACCCCCGTGACCAGGCGACCAGGAAACATCCAAGGCTGTCAGAGTCCTCAGCAAGTAAATGAACTTTCTAAGTTTGTCATGAATTGCTTCTAGCTGCGCTCACGATGTTGAGTGTTATGACACCAAGGTGGCTAGTTTTCAACCCATTATTTTTACCCTCCTACGTCAAGAAACTGGTGTACTATAATCCCCTATCCTAATCTACCAGAGGACGCAAAACAGAAAACGGGACAGTAAGTCAATTTCGCCAGCCATTTTGTAGTACGACGATTTTTGCCCTTAGGTAGAGTATACGTCAAAATGCGACGTTCTGTTAGGAGGACGGGTTGGAAGTACACGGATGACGTACACTACCAGTGTGACCTCGACACTGTCATTCTTGGCAATAACACCCACAGGGTGGAGAGTCCCATCACATGCTACTCTAATATGACTTGAGAGACTAGTGTACACCATAGGAAATCTGTGTGTGGTTACATGTGGCCTGGTCTTATACTTTTCCCTCTGCTATAGTGCGGCCTGACGCCAAGTTCCCCTGGTTATAGACTGATTAGTGAGGCTATTTGCGTTAGCGCCCCGCAGGCCCACACGACCATCACAACTTTGGTAGCTCCACCTCCGGCTTAATCCCCTCCCCTCTCTAAATTGCCTCCGTCTCTTCATTCCCTCCCATTCTTCCTTCCGACACTCCTATTCCCCCCTTTCACTTCCTATCCTTTTCCCACGTCACCTTTTTAAACCACCTCCCTCGCTTTTCTGTCACGCCTCTCTAGCGTCCCTCCTCTCCTGCCCCCTCTCCTCTCTCTCACCCCCCTTTCTGCCCCCCCCCTTTTCTACAATTTGCCGTGCCTCACTTCAATTTCCATCCACCTTTTCTCAATGCCCCTCTTCTTCCATCCCTTCCCTCAATTGGCCCCTCCACAAGATGCAACAACAAGCCGCCTAGCTCCTGGGTATCTAACTGCTAGGTGAACAGACGCATTAGGCGATAGGAAATGCGCCCAATTCTTTTCCGCCCGGCATTTGAACCCAGAATTCCCGATTTTGCGTCAAGAACGAACCCAACGGTGTTACCGGGACTACATTTTTTGTCTCATGTTCGTAGCCTGACTCAAGGGATCTCATTCCTCTTATTTCCCGGCGTCAGGGACGCATTCGATCCCTGGAGCGTCGTCGTCCCTCGACCAACAACATGGTAGCTCCAGCAGGAACTGTCCACTTCCCTCTTAAAGACTTCAACCTTCGCTTCAACACTACCAATTATGATTGCTGTTACAAGTTTGAAGATTTGTGACCCTCTGGTATTCACGATCTTTAATTGTGCTTATGTTTCCCCCCCCCCCACACTTTTCACTGTTGTAGAAGCTTCAGCAATAAAAGTGCCTGGTGTACCTGTACATAGAGGGTACAGGGGTACGCATAACATAATTGTTATGTACCATACTGTCCAGTCACTAGTGTGACATAACTTATGAGATGGCTGTTGTATATGGTACCTGAATGTTTTTATCAGGAGTACGGGGGGCGGGGTTCGAATCCAACTGTACTAGTGAACATCTGCATTTGTTTACGATCAATGTTGTCCTCTAACGCGTAGACAAGAATCACACATCTAACTGACACTACAGGCAAAACATGATCAATAGGCTTAGAATGCCATTCTGGCCAAACAAGTGTGTCTGGCCCCGCAAGCAAAAAAGATCGTTGCAAACACCTAGGGTTTTTACTGCAGTACGTCAATGACTGATATTAAGGTGATAGAGGTCATTACCGCAACGAGGTGAGGTCACGTGTGTGTAAGAGGGGCGAGGAAGTAATGGTACAGAAGGGGTGACCTTGAAGAGGTCGAGAGAAGAGCTTGTGACTTCACCAGCATGACACACAAGTGTTCAATATAACCCTGCTTTCCCAGCCCAGACATGAATTCTCAATTACGTCTTTACTTCCTGAGAATGTCTTTAAAACACAGTTACTCTACTCCCACTGTCCAATCCTAATCCAGTTCTCCCCTAAAGATCACTTGATCCAGCAGCCTACTGCTGCTTGTATGTGCAACAAAGCCATCAGAATTATCGGGTGCAGTAAAAAATGTTGCAGGTACATGCTAGGCTACCAATGGCAATGTTTCAAGGCCCGGAAGCACGCATGAGAAGAAGCGCCAGTACCTGATTAACCGTGACGTCATATACCAGTCCCCTATCGCATGTGCACGAATTGTCGGCCGGTGATGGTACTGGAATGGTGGGAGAGAAGAGCGGGGGCATATGTTGGTCATGGTAACCTAGACAGGAAGGTGGGAAGGGGGGGGGGAAACGACAGGAAGTGCCACAGAAAAACTAGAGAATGCAGAGGTTAAGACATCCTTGACGGCAAGGCGATTGGCCTGGCAAGAAGCCTCGTCACCGCGGGCATGAGAAGAGCGTCCAGCCTTCACCTGTGGCAAGTCCGCTTTACTGGCTTGTTAACGCTGTCCGCCAGGCACTTGTTCGCCAGTGCCCGGCGAACAAGTGCCGGGCACTGTCACAAATTGCTAATGTCAAATTATGTACCTGCAACCAAAATTAACCGTCTTGACCAAACCACACATCAGAAAGTGAAGAGACGACGACGTTTCGGTCCGTCCTGGACCACTTTATAATGGTCCAGGACGGACCGAAACAGTTTCTTCACTTTATATTTGCTTAGCTAAACGAACTATAAGGTTCTGTTCCTGAACCCATTATGTGCGCCTAACCCTTTCCACCACCGCCCATGGGACGGGTATGGGGGGCATAATACATGAAATTGGGGAAAAAAATTATATGCGGTTTATTCATATCTTCAGCCACGTTATGACATCGTCTGAATCCGTCTTTTATATTCCTTCAAACTGTGTACAGTACTTTTAATTTACTTGACGCCTAGGCTTGCCTAGTTTATTAAAAAACAAATGTTTAAATATGTAAACTCCTGCACAATATGCACACTACTGAAATGGCTTAACCTGGTGTGTTCATAATAGTGCTGCACTTACCCTGCGTTCTCGAGCCTCCCGTTCGAATCTCCGGTACTTGTAGTTGAGGAAGGAGTTGCCGGCGACCATGGTAGTGATTAGTATCGCCCCCAGCAGAAAGGTCATGAGGTTGGGCACGCTCACCACTGGGGAGTAGATCAACTGCGGTATGCCAGCAAACAGCAGGATGACCCCAACGGATCCCACTACAGAGAGGACACACTGCGCAGACGAGTACATTGTGGTGATGTTGAAGGTGGTGCGCGTCATTGTGGTGGTGGTAGTCGTGGTGGTGGTGGTGGTCGTGGTAACGCTGGTGGGCAAGAAGGCAGGAAGAGGGAGCTACCTTTAGGTCGAGTAACTCCAATTCCTCAATTTTTTTATGCCGTGTCTCTGCGCGGTCTCACTTCCCTGTTTCCGTTTAGGTTTCTTAAACGGATCTTCCTGTAATGTTCTTCGTTCGGATTTTTCTTAAGAGTTTCTCAATTGGGATTGTCTCGGTTTATAATTATATGTATATATATATATACACACACATCTACACCTTTAATAGTAGGACGTGTCTACTTTATATACTGTATAATGGTTTTTCTTATTTTCTCCATATTGAAGCAGGTGCAACACCGAGGAGAGGGAGAGTGGATGAGCCCCAGACTGTGTAGCCTCGCCTCGCCTGACCACACCGGCGCCTTAGCTCCCACAAACCTGAAAGACCAGAAAGCGCACAAAGCCTCAATTAAAAAACGTAAACCATGTTATTTCAATATTGCATGGTTAAAAAATGAAATCTTTAGTAATCTCAAGTCTACAAAAATATATCAGTTAAAATATCTTGCACGGTAATTTTCACTGATGTGAAAATTAATTTTGCAAGTATTTTGTCTGGCCAAGAGTAAGCACGTGTGGGTGGCTGGACCTTTAGACAAGGTCTGCCAGGATGTTGGCCTCAACGGGGTTATTATTGCCATCAGCCCCCACAACTAGTTAAAAGATTAAATTAATAAACTCCTAATTTAATTAAGGGTAGGGCGGTAATATCTCTGCGCGCTAACAAAGGCGCTCTTGTGCACTCCGCGAAGTGAATTTAAGACCCCAGGGGATTATTTCACACTTATATTAAACGATAGTTGTCATGGTAAACTTATTTTTAAATAAAAGCTAATTGGGAAAAATATGGCAGAGTTGGTAAAAGGATATGTTCCGATTTAATTATTTCGTGTACACATTTTTAAGCAAATAAACACTTGTGTTCCCAGCAATTCAAACCTCTCCCTTCTTCCTAAATAGATAGTGACGCGCCAGTCTCGCCCTCATACCACACTTGGGCCTGATAGCAGTTCCAGGAAGTCGTCAAGGTTGGGGTTAGGGGTGCAACATGGGCGATTTGAAAGTACTAATCCATCCAGACGAGTATACAACTTATTCTTGAAACGAATTTCCCCGAAAGATCCCCCCCAAATCACCTTCCCCTGGATTGTAGCTAATGGTACTTTACCAAGTACCATTTTACTTTACTTTTACCATGTTTACTTTACGCTGGTGACTTTTGTTCGAACCACAACGGTGTAAACAGCCCGTCCTCCAAAGACCCAAAAGTCATTCCATGCAACCACCAAACCCCCTGTTTATGAATGAAAAACGGTTAACACACAACTCTACTGATTTCGTCCGAACACTTCCGGAACAAGTGCTTCACTGACGAATTTGGTTCGAACCACAACGCTGTAAATGCTTCACTCACGTACTACAAATGCAAATAATCGCCAACAGAACCTAAATACCTAACCTATATATGCACAATATGCTATTATAATAATTTGCATTTGAGAAAATTCCCGTTTTGAATGAACAGCATGTTAAAATTTATGAATGCGTCTGTGGGTTCGACCGCTGGATGGAATGGACTTTGTCTGACGATAATGAGGTTGCGGGCTGAGCTGTGGCCGCCAAAAAGCTGACGAGGGTAGCTTACAAACATGTATGTCATCCTTGAGAAAATCAAATTGATAACATCTTAAAATACAGATAATATAATCACAATAACAGCGATAACACACGAAGACGTGATACAACTCAAAGGAGTCAATGGCACCCATAAACAAAAATCTTGACAATCACGAGATTAAAATAGCGACAATCCTCTGGTGCCAAAATAATGGTAGCCTGAATGTTGTGAGAATATTTGCAGTGGGATAAGGGTTCAACTGAACTTCCCGCTGTGGTCGCGGAGGGAGGGGGAGGAAGTAAGGGGTTCAGGAAAGAACTATACGTTTGTGTTTGACGTGGTGGAACGTCCTGTGCAGTTATCTCTAACGCCACCACAGCTGTCATGGGGGAGGGGGTGACCTTCCTGTCTCTAAGAGCTCCCACACTGTACGTCAGCCGACACCAGTCACGTCCACTGTATATATCTTCCCACACCCACAGTGTACATCCTCCCCCAGTCACCACTACTGTACACCACCACCCTCCCCCAGTCACCACCTTAAAGATATAATGAAAATAGGTTGCAATTCTTCGCCTTGAAAAGAGTCAAGGAGGCCAAACAATCTATTACTGTCCCATTGTGTGTTCTAGCCTATTACTCCCCCCACCCACAAACACACTTAATTTTATTCAGTATCAATCTGTTATCCCAAAACAAACAAGATAACCTACAACGACTGTGGGCTTAACGTACAAAATGCGACTGTTGCGCGCGAGAGAAAAAGTTTCGTATTCAGATTTTGTAATACGAGAAGGAAGGCAACAACTAAACTGTATGCTACCATTTGTTAAAATATTTTAAGTCAAGGAACTTTCAAACTACTATGACAATGATAACAGGCCTACTATAAAATTATAAAAGGTGGTAAAGTCACTAAAGGTGGTAAATTACAACTGCATTTGGTGTCTGGTGCAATGAAACTTGTGAAAATCTATCACTATTTTATTACCCTAATATTACCCTACCTAGGATATTTTTTTTACTGTATTTAAAACACGATAATAAAATATGTACATACAAAGCAAGGGATGTCCTCACCTGCAGCCGACAAATCGCTAGCACAACTAGCCTCAAACAATTACATATGCATCAGTGTACAAACATAGAACGTCGCAGAACACTGGACCAATCAATTGTGAGCCAACTGTGCAAACCACTGCGCTACAGTCCACGATACCACTTCCAACTGCAGATGTTGGAACAGGAAGCAGGAAGTAAACTCTGGCAACAAAAAAAAACAACTTAGAGTCTGCGTGTGTATGAAGGGCGAGGAACAGAACCCTTCCACACCCTCTCCGCAAAGCTGGGTGCTTACTGGCACAATCTTTTAACTTTATACTCCAACCAAATTTAATTGTAATCCGTTTTGAGGCTATTTCACCAGATACACAATATATCCGGTACTAATTCTGGTGGGGGAAAAAAAAAGGAGCTGTGTAGATAAGTGACTTGCAATAAGCTCCATTACCGTCGCGATCCGTTGTGCGTCCTCGTTAATACCACGGGATGAGGAAGTCGCTTGCGAATTACGTGAAGGGATCGGACGTAGGGAACGACGACTTGTCCTTACACGTGGGGTAAACAGTATGACTGGTTACACAGGCGGAAGTCTGGTGTGGGTCCGCCATGTTTGCTTCAGCGGCACGCGTCCGCTAATTTACCTTTGTTTGGGTTTGGATAGTTATGCAAATGAACACATAATATTACAGACCTTTGTCGTGTTGCACTTCATGCCACAAAAAAGCTCCGCCCAGACCGCCGCCTGTCAGCCACAAAGCCACGGTGATTAAAGAACAAAATGCACCCTTGATACTGTTATTTAACCACTTTAGTTTTTTTTAGCACCTGTTCCTTGAGTGGACTAGCCTATAGAAACAGTAAAATGCATGGCAACCTTTGGAGAACTTCCCACCGTTTCCTTAGCAATTCAAACCCATAGCCTACAGGGTAGATTAAACAAGGCAGTTAAGTTATGCACACTAGCCTAAAACAACTATCGCTACCATGAGATAACCAACAGCAAGTCTAAATCAAACAAATTGTTCGGGCATAGCCAAGAACCTCCCAGTCACCTACATAGCCAAGGGGCTATGCTCGCAATTGCTAATGCAAGTTAGTATGCATTTGCCTTAGGAAACTTGTGAAATTTAAACTGAAAATTTAAAAAATACTTTAATTGCAAATATCAAGGGGAAAAAACCCTAACCTAAATTTAGACTAGTACGAAATTTGTATTTTTTTTTTTTTGTACTTTTGTACAAAAATAAACTATTTTAGATTCAGCCTCTTGAGTGTTTGACTCGACAATTGATCCAAAATTGCTTGACCATTTTAAAGAATGAAGAACAATTAGATTTATATTTTTAAGCTGCATTTCTTATGAACTTATTTCTTACGATTCTTATCCCTGCCCTTGGGTGGCAGTGCACAACAGAAAGTTGTATTTACATATTCGTACATTGAAACGTGTGCACAGTCTAATGTAGTTGATTGTAACCATGATACATACGTGCTTCAGCCTACAGTTTAGACCTACAGCCTTGTGAATGACCCTGTCCTGTCTGACAGTGAATACCAGCATTACCCTCACTCTAATCTTAAAGACTTAACTGAATTCCTCAGATTAGGCAAAATTGTAATTTATATGTCAATAAAGATGATAATATTCTAGAGTAGCATTCGAGATAACAGACTAGTTACTCCTCAAGCCTAGCGCAGTAACTATATGACGCCATAGTATGGTTCACACGCTTGTACAGCCTAGTCTCCAAGTCGACTGTCATATCCGTCGCAAGATCCTGTAGAGCGCAGGGCCTGCAGTCTTGTACCTTAGCCCCTCGTCACCGGTGACGTAATATGGATCCTGACGCGTTCTTGACGTAATATAGATCCTGTCGAGTTTTATGGTCCTGGATAGCCCAAGATTTATAAACAAAGCACGCGATTGACTCACTCTGTACACGAACGCACGCAAAATGTGATTCACGAAGAAAGCGACCAACGAAAGCGTACAATAAAACTCACGAATAGCAAGCAACTCGGTAGAAAGTAGAAAAAAGAAGGTACCCCTGCTAAGGTCAACTATATCTTGCTCTCCGTGACGCAGCTATTTTGTTTCCGGCATGTTTATGTGTCAAGCTTGTTTGGGTTAAGACTATTTTCCATCGGGGTAATCTCTGGCAGTTTGTGGTGACCGTAGGCTTACAATGTGTAGGGAGTAGTCTAGTTTGGATTTAAATCTGCCTATTCTGTAGGTATTCCTCACTCATTATAAAACCTTATTAAGAGGTTTCATAACGACAAATTGCGTCTTGCACATACATTATACATATACATAGGAGGCCAACTGATTGTTCCCATTAGAGACCAGCTCAGGTTCCAGCACTACAAGGCATCAAACCTCCTGGTTTACGCTCTGGTAACCTTTGCTTATAAATAATATATATAACAATATATTTGCAACCCAACGATTACTGTGCCTAAAGGAATAATTTGGGGTACTAAGGAAAAACGTTAAATATAATGAACTAAGTTGTAAAAATGGGTCAACAATAATAATGCATTGAGTTTTTTTTTTTTGCAACAATAATCAAAACACTCTGCGTTCCATGTTTATAATTAATAGTCGAGTGGAAGATAATCAGGTCAAACACTGATTAGGGTAAGGGAATACGTCTAGCGAGGAAGGGAAGCAAGTGTGAGTAAAGATGAGGAAGGGAGGGTAGTGAGTGGGGGGTATGAGGGGGGAAGGAGTGGAGTGAGAGGAAGGACAACGAGTGGGGGTGTCTGAGCAACAAAGACGGTGAGGGCTTATCAAACAATAAGACACAAAGAGGGCAAGGAAGAACAGAACTGTAACAAGTTGAAGAAATGTGATAAATGGCGGGTGGAAGAAGGTGGTGGGGTGGGGTGGGGGGAGGGGGTAAGTGAAAGTGTTTAAACACCCCCCCCCCTCTCCCTCTTCAACCCTCCCCCCCCCACCCCTTGTACGACCTCCTTGGTTCCTGACCACAATCGGTGCTGCCGCCAGGTATAAACATCTGGCTTCAACCCAAAATGCATTACCATGACTTTACCAAGTGTACGCCAGTCACTTTCATGAATAAGTGAGAGTGAGTGTACACCAGAGTCACTTTCAGGCGAACAAGTCGGGTTCAGTACCAGTGTTTATTATTGTTGTCACCTGAGACCGCTGGTTCATCGTTCAGCCCGATCTCATCCTTCGTGCAGTAGTGCAAACAAAATTACAGAGTGCACAAAAGGTCTTTATCATACCTCAACGGAGATTAATACATTAACAGTTACATCTATCCTGGCACCATAATGACGGTTAATTACATTTTTCCCCATTTCAATAGCCATGTATTTACAATTATTCATTATGCCTTAATGGTTTGGCCTTTTCGGTAATACGTAACTTTTAGCTATGGAGATATTGCAGGGTAATAGAAAAGCTGCCGATTATTATTAGGTCTGCACACTACACTTTCCTCATTTCATATGCCATTTATCTACCAGAAGCGAAACATGGATACAGAGCAAGGATTTCAGATATTTTATCGCTTGACAAGAGGGTTTGCACGAGTTTATATTTATCTCAAAACGGCTTAATTTTTTCAGACTAAGAGGTAATGCTCTGGCGTATGTGTACCCCTGTCCTTGTGCACACACAACCTCTGGCAGTTCCCTATACAAGTAAACTGCCAGAATGCTATTACCATTTGCAGTTAAGTCGCATTCGAGCTATGTCAACTTCTGTTAATTCGAGCTAACGTCAACTTCAACTACTATCGTGTTGTGAAGAGCTGGGTTGAGTATCTTCGTGACGAGTGGCAAGTCCAACCCTTTCAAGTACGTGATGTCATAGTGATAAAATCTAGTAGTTGAGGTCGAGCTCAAGTGACAAATGTAGCGATAAATGGAAAATAGAGATTTTCCTTTAACTGTTGGCTACATTACTATATACTATATATTTGTTGACTATATTGCTTATTAAATGCAAGCAATGACTTTCTTGAATTGATTACAATACAAGCAAGATATTTACCCAAATTATACAAATCGGTTCACTTATTCCCGGTAATTTACTTGCGTATTTTTTTTTTTTAAGAATCAATCTTAACATTACGTTAGCGTATTCTATGGCCAGAACAATCCAAACATTAGGCTAATTGATCAATATTGAGGCTATTCATGGATTCAAACCAGCGCCCCTTATCACATCAGGCAAATACTATCGACTGGACTATGAAGAGCTAAAATACCTCGACTAGAAGTACTATCACACTTGCATAGAATTCGCAATTCGCCATCCACTACCACAATCTACGTGTACGAGTTACCTGCCCCACGCTCAGGTGTCGAGACTGATGCTCTCCATTTCCCACCCTCGTCAATGCACAATGAAAATCATAACGTGATAAAACCAAAAATATTGAGGCTGTATGACGGAACTGAACTCCCCCCTCCCCTTCTCTTTGATCGCATCAAGGTAGAGCTTGTGCCTGACGCGGTCAGAGGTGCGGGTTCGATTCCGTAATAGGCTTCAATATTTATCGATTGTTTCACGATTTTTTTTAGATTTTTTTCCAATGTGCGCTAGACTAACAGTAATTTAAAATTATTTGTCGCTTTGTGTTCTATAAAATCTTCAGATTGGACATGTCACAATTGCACACGTTTAAATCCGCACGTCTGAGTCAACGACCGCTTTATTTATTTTTTGTTATAACTAATAGTCGTCAGACAGCTCGATTAGCATTAAAAATTGCTGCTGCAATACTCCATTGTTGTAACTGGTCCAATACTTTTGTTGTGTTCCACAATTCAGGTTAAGTCTCATAGTGTCTTGCTAAATGTGGACCAGATTCTTACTGAATATTAGCGTATAAAATGATGTCATTTCCTCCGCCTGCCTCACGTTCGTAGGCTGCAATCAGTTACCTAAATTTGTACCGGTGTTCCTAAGGTGACTCAGACCGCTGGTGGGCGGGACAGAACCAGAAAGTGGCGAAGAGAGAGCCCTTAGTGAGCCAAGAAGCGAGAGTTAAATAAGCTAGGTCAAGAGGTCAGTAAGTTGCGCATGCGTTGAAGGTTTCAATTCTGACAAAGGTTGCTACGTCAACTTCCTCACGAGGTTAACCCACAGCTAAATTATTATTTCTTTATCCGTTTCCTTTATTTGCCTTTCAGATAAATTTGCTCGAACAAGAACTCTTAAA